AATGCCCAGATTAAAGAAATCACTTGGCTTGGAAGCATAAAACATGTCGATGTCTTCTTTAACACCTTCCATATTTGTATACGTTTTCCCATTATGAGGGTGTTGCAGCGATCGAAAAAGATGGTAATCTGATGGTGCCATATCTGGAGAATATGGTGGGTGGGGGAGAACTTCCCAACCCAACTCCATAATCTTGTGTTCCGTCAAACTTGCCACATGTGGACGTACATTGTCGTGGAGAAGAAGAATACCTTGACGAGTAAAGGGCGTTTCTGATGAAGGGCTTGATTTAAACATTCCATCTGTTGACTATAAATCTCTGCATTGATAGTTCGCTGTGAATTGAGGAGTTCAAAATGAATTACTCTTTTTATGTCCCACCAAATGCAAAGCATCACTTTCTGCAGATGGAGTCCAGGTTTTGGGGTCGGAAATGGTTTTTGTCTAGGACTGAGCCATTGTTTTTGGCGTTTAATGTTAGCATAGAGTATCCATTTTTCATCATCGGTGACAATTCTGTCCAAAAATGGTCCACGCGCATTACGCGCAAAAAGAGACGAAGCAATGTTCACACGTTGGAAACGATGGTCATCGGAGAGTTCGTGGAGCACCCAACCACCTTCTTTATGTTTTCCCATATTCCTTAGACGCTTACGCATTTTTCATGAGAGACATGCAATTTCAGGGCCATTACACAAGTATGTTGCCTTGGCTTGGACTCAACAAGCTTCTTCAGTGTATGAGTATCAATTCCAACATTTCGGCCTCTACCATCACAGTTTTTAAGGCTAAAGTCACCTGAACGAAATTTGCTGAACCATCGTTGAAACTTACGAATGTTCAAAACATTTCCATAAGCTTCTTTGGTATTCTTTGTGGCTACAGAGGCATTGTTTCCCTTCTTGTATTCAAACAGCATTACATGTTGAATATGTGTTTCGTCGTGTGCCATTACTATAAGGGATTAGAGTATATTAAACTTTCCTCATCATATAGGCTACACTAACGTGACGTTTATGTGATTCGTTTAACTATTATACGTGATGTACGTTTTTTTTGGGGGGGGGGTGTTTAATGAAAGTGTTCCAAAACGCGACATTAATTTCTTGACGACCTAATACGTATCTCCTCATAGATCCAACGAACCTCCATACCAAATTTGATGAAGATCCATTCACAGGATGTGAGGTAATGATAAAAAACGCAAAAACTCCCATAAAAACCGCAAAACTGAAAATATGTATGTACCCCCTGCATGGACCTAATGAACTTCCATACCAATTTTGGTGTCGATTCGTCCACACCCTGCGAAGTAGTTACATGGACAGACAACAGATAGTAGTATTATATTTATATAGATTTCAATAAAATAATTGTTACATATTATGAAGTTAAAATGCTTTTGTATCAAAAACCAATCGCTATTCCGTCACAACGAGGGTCAGTTCCAGCCCACAAAACGTTCTTCACACGACAGCCTTCCTTGATAGGATTCCACCATTGACCTCTGGAAATAATGTGACCAACGCCAAAGTCTCTTCTTTGCCTGCCTAATATTGGGCCAGATATAATATGTCCCATATCTTTTAATTCTTGTATTGTACTTGCTGGTATTCCATCCTCAGCGAGCACATAATCCATAGTTGACCTGAAACAACAAATCAACAAAAAGTTTTACTTCTATTTGCAAATTTCCACAGACTTGTCAAAAAACAACAACAAAAACAATTGGTTTAATACAGTTTAGTTCACTGCAGACCAAATATTGTTTATTATTGTAAAATATACATTGAAATGGATAATTATTGTGTCAGGTTTTACAAAAATCAAAAACAAAAAACAATCAACTATTAGTGAAAATTTCATTTCTTCAATACCATTCAAAACGAAAAATTATAATAGCTGTAAATTATTTAAGCATACACGGTGTGTCACGAAACCTTAAACAAATAATATATAATTCGAATTCAAACTTATCACATGGTTTTTGTGGGTCCAAAAGTCAAATATTTATATATCCTCAGTTTCCTTAAATTTTCATGTCGATAATATTGGATATGAGAATTTTTATTACTTTATTAGTAGTATATATTGCTTAAATGTACCACCCCCCCTCCCGGTAATTCAACGGTAAGCTCTAGAGCTTGTAACATTAATATCCGGTATTTGATTCCTGTGGTGAACACAGGTGATTTTTGTATACCTTTGAATAACCACTGCACAGTTTTGCACTTAAAAATTAACAAGCCGAAGTGTTTGCTTAATACATTAAATAATTTTAAATATTTTATATTGCAGCAACCTGTATACAGCACTTTAAACTAGCTGATTTCTGTATACCCTGGAATAACCTTGAAAATATAACTAAAAGAGCAAAGAACTGTGCATAACACACACACACACTATTATATACAAAAATCGACTATTCCAATAACCACAAGCAGCGCTATTTACAGGACAGGAAATAACAATGAAAAATGAAATTTTGGTTGAAAGTTCTAACATTTATTCAAAATACAACAGTGACTGCATATACATGTATATAATGTGTGTGTGCTTGTGTATATATACAGAGAGTTGAGTACGTTATATTATATTGATTTGAATATTCAAATCATGAAGTCACCTGACAACCACAGCAGATATTAGTCACAATGGAACTTATCATAACTACATTTTGAAAGTTGATCGCCTTTTCCGACGCAAAATATTTATACATTCAGATCATAAAGATATCTATTTGATTATATTTGATAAGCTTAATTCATTTGTGAGTATATTTCAATGTATTTAATTAATATAGAAATTGTATTTTATGTTTATAAATTTCGAAAAATCTTCAATCACTTCAAGTTATTTATGTTTAGTTGAAAAGTGGCACGCAAACGTTTTTATTATAGATTATCTGTTACATTACATCCTGAAGAGGGACCTTTGAAGGTACAAAACTGGTAGAAAATAATAAAAAAAGAGAAAAAGAGTAACAAAAGAATATTTATACTTAATTTCATCTTTAAACTATGAACACTTATGACCTAAATAATTTAAACTATAACATACAACAGTCAGGTGAAAGTATTTCAAATGTTTTGTATAGAAAATCTCTTGAATGCAGAGGTGTAACTGGGAGCGGAAAGGCCTGTGGTAAAGTATTATTGATGCCCCCCCCCCCCGCCTGATCTGAGAAAGACACTAGGGGACATTCTGAACATTCGACTGGTTATTCACATGTCATATACAGAAGTAAGTGTATATAATGGACCGTTTCCGAAAATCTAATTTGAACCAGTTGAATAAATAGAGTTGTTTAAACATTTGTTTAACAACAAGTAAAAGCTTGGAATGGTCTATTCTTTCACTGGGGTGTAACCAAATGTTACAAGTTCTTCAAATACCTATAGAATGATAGGTTTCTTTTTTTGTGAGTGTAAAACACTTAAATACACCAGTTCGATTTTCGAACTATAAAGGCTTGGTTTGGTCCGATGTGTCCAGGGTCACTGATGAGGAGTGGAATTCTGCGAAACTAGTCTGGCCCACAGGCACACACCCCAGTGAAAGAATAGACCACTCCAAGCTCTTACTTGTTGTTAAACAAATGTTTAAACAACTCTATTTATTCAATTATGTATAAGCTGCCCAGTGTCGGTTAACAATACGAAGAATTAAATTGTAGCGAAATGTTACAAGTTCTTCAAATACCTATTGAATGATAGGTTTCTTTTTTTGTGAGTGTAAAACACTTAAATACACCAGTTCGAATTTGAACCAGTGCTGCATTCAACATACCACGTGACACACAAACATCGATGTTTAGGAGTGATTTCTTTTAATATTTACTTTTAAATTAAGAAACCAAATAATGTATAATACTAAAATTTGAATTATAATCTACAGCTTGATACCAAACTTATTGACATAAATTCATAAAAGTAGTTCAATAAAATTTTGAATGCAAGTCAACAAACGTTGACATGACTTTTGATCCGTGACCCGTGGCGATAGGGTTAAGAGACTGCTCCGTACACTGTCTGCTCACAAATGTATGAAGAACGCAGGATGCAGCCGCAGGCACCAGCCACACTTGCCAGAGACACTTGCCAAAATGTCAACTAGTTCAGACAGAATCAGACTCGTAGCCTGAAGCAGTATTGTCAGCTTGCCAGCGTGAGATTCAGCTGCACACCCAGTTTCTTATGTTAGGTTCAAGCATGTTAAATGTTAAATATTAAAATACTAAAAATATTTTATTTTAATATTTTCTAAATTGTGAAAACTGTGAAGTAAAACGTGGGTCCCTGGGCCCGTGGTATTTTGCCACTAAGGCCACCTTATTGAATTTCACAAAAAAAGTATTCATCATTTCCAAACAAATTTTGTTTAATATTATATGGAAGTTACCTAGCAGTTACCCAAAAAAATGTATCTATATATAGGCCCCTCATGGCCAGGTGGTTAGGGCGCTCGACTCGCAATCTGAGGGTCGCGGGTTCGAATCCCCGTCCCACCAAACATGCCCGCCCTTTCAGCCGTGGGGGCGTTATATAGTGACGGTCAATCCCACTATTCGTTGGAAAAAGAGTAGCCCAAGAGTTAGCGGTGGGTGATGATGACTAGCTGCCTTCCCTCTAGTCTTACACTGCTAAACTAGGGACGGCTAGCGCAGATAGCCCTCGTGTAGCTTTGCGCGAAATTCAAACAAACAATCTTTTTCAGTGAATGATGTTTTGAAAAAAAAAATTACTTCTGTGATGTGCCCTCCGGTTGTATACAAATCCTGGCCTGGTCCAAAGCTTTCTGAGGATCCATCCCAAACTCTAACATGTTGAGAAGCACCTTTACAAAAAATACAAGACGATTTGAAATAGCATGTATAGCATTTAACTCTAATAATTCGGTGTTTCGTAAATAACTATCTAAATACGATCATAAATTGATTAAAGTCATTTGAAAGATAAAACAAAATTGTGATTTCCACTATGATATGTACATGTATATGGTTAGTTATTACTGGAGGAAGGAGCAAATAAAACGTCCTGACCATACTGAGTACGCACACACACAAACAGTGATACTTAATCCCAATCACTCTTGAAATTAACACATAAACATTACTTAAACCTTTAACACATCGTCTGGTTTAAATTCGTTGATGTGTTCGATAAATTTCTTATAGTTAATTCACATTAAATAGTCTGAAAGGCGATAACGTATTTAATTATAACAGCAGAAAAGAATCACTAAATGCAACGACATTAGCCGCCTGATGATGATAAAACCTTGTCGAAACGTTGTACATTTACTGTGATGTTAAACTTATATTAAAGTTTTTCTTCATTACCCATTCAAGTCGTCTCCAAGCATTATTATAGCCACTAGATGTCGCTTTACCTGTACATGTCCCTGTGGTTGCATAAATTTACCCATTACTCCATAGCAAGCTAACAGCTCATTTGTATTGATATCCGTTAACATGGCGGGTATAATAGTATGATAAGGTCGTTTCCTTGGTGCTAGGACATTTGGATGATTTTCTTCAAGGCTGAAATTCAGACCTCGATTCTGAAAAAAAAAACATAAAAAATGTTGTTGTTTTTTGTAATATGAACTCCAACGTAAATTTCATACTTTGTTTAATTAATAATTTATAATTTTTTCAAATGTTAGTATTAAACGGATGAAGAGTAGTACAATATACCTAAAATTTTAATCAAATTTGTTATCCTTTATTCAATAAACATCCTATACGATTTTGTTGCATATTTAAAAAGATGCGGCATTGCTAAATGAAACAATAAATAAATAAATACAATATGATAAAATGATGAAATAAATCATGATGAAATAAAGTATGATAGAGTAAGATAAGGAGAACTAAACTATCGTAAAATAATGATATGAAATAGGATAGAGAAACTTGTAGTAAGTTACATTGCACGGTTTAACAGTATACAATAATAAGAAGCAGCCGTGTAACAGTATACATCCGATTTTGTTAAATTAGAGGAAATAGAAAAATAATCAAAGGAAATAAATCCGAATGTTCAAAAAAGGTCCATGTTCATTGGCTGGTTGTCGTCTGAACTAAAGGTCTGTAAAGGCAAAATATTCACTGTTCTAAGGTAGTTGGCGGTTTGTTTTCCGTGTTTTAGTGGTTTGTATATAGTGGGGATGAGAATTTTTCCTATGAGGTGGGTGTAACGGCAAAGTTTTGTAGATAAGAGATTCATGTTTAAATCTCTCTCTGATTGCCTGTATTTTACTGATTGTGTGAAGGTACGTTCCGTGGGTGTAAATTGGGATTCGATAAGCAATTCTAATCGCTTTTAGTTGTTGTGATTATATTGAATTGTATATATTATTAGACATGTTGATGTTATGATGCCGCCGTATTCCATTATGGATCTGGTGTAAACTTTGTAGATTAGCGTTATGGTTTGAGCATTGCACCTTTTGACGTGGCATCCTCTTTTACTGAGGTAGTACATTGTCTCGCGAGCTTTCTTTAGTACTTCGGAAAAGTGTCTGTTCCATGTTGATTTTTTGTTGAAAGTTATCCAAAGGAATTTTATAGTGTTTGACAACTGGATTTGGGTGTCGTACAGTTTTAGTTGAAATTTGTTTGCTATCTTAAGATTGCTTTTTAATACCTTATGGAAAACTATGGTCTTCATTTTTTGAGTATTTAACATTATCTGCCAGGTGTTGTATTTCCAGGATTGAAAACTTCAAGTCAACTCAGACCCTGATAAGTTATTATAGTGTTAAATATAACAGATATTCAGGAAGTTGTTGATCTGGATGTAGTGTAAGTGAGGTATTGCGTGTCATAATGGAAACATCATTTCAAGAATGCACTCGTCCCAAGCACCACTGGATGTCCAGTTCAATCTAACAGCTTCTTTAGGACATTGCGCATATGACACCTCCTGCCAATAGCTTAACTAAGCCGCCTGTATTGCTTATCCTTAAAGCCGAGCCTATACTGCACTAGTCTAAAAACGAGTTTACTGGTCAGCAAGTACAGCAATCTCCTGTACACATGAGTTTCTTCTATCATAGTCTGAGCACTCAGGCAGGTTTCGTTCCTACTAGAAAATGAGGGAGTAAGAGCTGAAACTAATTCCTTATTTGGTTACTGATATTGGGACATTTTACAAGCAGTGACCAACGCTTTTAACACCCTGCTGGTCCTGTAAGTTGCTTGTTCACAACTTCTACTTGCTTTTTGTCACAAGTTAATATAATAAAGATAAATACGAAAACCATGCTTCATTTCAAAAAGAAAGTAGCCAACACGAACATATTTTGTTTTTATATTACAAATAAATTACTAAATGTTGTAATAATGTTGTAACGCATTTGTTATTATATATTTATTTTTTAATATCAACTTTTTTTAGATTAAATTTATATTTAGAAACATACATAGCTTGTACTGTTAGACAGGTATTGCGAAACTCCCGCCTATTCTCCAAAG